GATGAAATTATACTTGTTGTTGTTTGTGTTTTGTGTATTTTTGTTTTTTATTTTATGTAACTTTTTGAAAATTTAATAAATATCTTTTAAAAAAAGAAAGAAAGTGGGGGGTGGGTACCATTTGCCTTGACCCCGGCAAGAAAATCAGAATGCACAATAAATAGGTCATCTGGAAGCAGCTATGATTTATGCATGTTCCTGGTTCTTCAGCCTTACCGCAATTCAGTAAATCATGTGAATTTCATCCCCTCCCTGCCCAATATGCTCTTGAATTTTTATTTTTCTGCGTACTGGTTAAAAAAGCCCACTTCTCTAGGAATATTATTATATACCACCCATTCTCTTTACTAGCCTCTCAAATTGAAGGATGTTTTGCAAGAATGGTCACAACCACATTCTTATGCCACTTCAAATCCCGCAAAGAATCATGGGAGCTGTAGTCTGCTATGGGCACTGACCTCATAGACCTACAGTTCTCAGCACCCTTAACAAACAACAGTTCCCAGGATTCTCCTTGACTGTTAAAGTTGTATAAGAGAGCCTTAAGTTTATGGTGTAGATGTGACCTAAGTTTTGTCTGAGTGGAAATGCCACTGTGAACGGCCTCTAAGACTCCCCCCGCCCCTGACGCTGCTCTTCTTAGTGACAAGCATATCCAGGTTTGGACATTACGAAATACAAGAAGGGCACTTCTCACTTTCAGTTAATAAAAGAAATAATAAAATATAACATATTCGTATTACAATACACCACTAGTTTTAATATATGTTTTTGTCCTCTTGTCTAGTATTCTTTTTTTCTTTTTCTTTTAAATATACAGTAAAAAAATCTAAAATAGTTGGAAGTAAAAAATGAAAAAATAGCTGACTATGGGTTGTATTTTTGTTTTTTTGTTTTAGTTCTTCTTTACAGTGATATGGTAGCAAATACAAGGAAAAAAATACAGAGAATAAACTTGTACGGAAAGTGTTTTCTGGTCCCATCTCTGCCAACAGGGCTCAGGTTGGAGTCGGAGATGAATGGAGTCAACGGGTGTGGTGAATTAATGCGATTTGTGGGGTTTGCTTTTTTGGCTGTAGCTTTGGTAAGATAATGATCTGTGAGTCCAAGATATTGCAAATAAATGTCTAAAACATCGGAAGGGAAAGCTTAACCCTGAGCATGAAGCCAACATGAAGAAAATCACTCTGATCCAGAACTTTGAGGGCCCCCCCCTCCCTGCAATCCAGAAGAAACTAAGTTCTGTTCACATCCCAAGAAAATCAACCATGGCTAAAATGTCCTAAGGATTTTAGCGGTGGTGAAGTTTGATTAGCGTTCTCTGGGTAAGGGCCTGGATGTGCAGAGGATGCACACCCTGACTTCCTGCTAATGTGTGGCTGCCCTTTGACCTTGGTTTAGGAGGCAGCTGGAGATACCACATTTCTGAATCCATCTTAGTTCAGCCAGACAAATCAACCCTCTCCCACCGTCCTCCAAATTTCCTTGTACTCCCCACGCCTTCTCCCTCTGCAGCCTTAAGTGGAACTGAAACGGTTCGCACGGACACACACGCAGCAATGTAATACATCCCCAGAATGGGTTTGCAACGAAATGGTGATGCGTTTCATCGACAAAGCTTGGCAAATGGGTCACACTGAGCCCCTATTTTGGCTGTAGAAAAAGAAAAGGAGAAAGGAAGAAAAGGGAAAAGAAAAAAAGAAAGATAGTATCGATTTTGCAGCGTAAACAAGAATTATGTAGACGGGCCAACGCAAATGGCGATTCCTTCTCCCATCACCTGCATAATAACAGCATCACGTTTGCATATAGAACAGCCTTTTTTCATTATTGCTCTACTTCATAAAAAATATAAGGAACTTAGAACAGACGTATACGTTACAAACTTAAGGTTCTTTGGTGAAGAATGAAAAAAAACCACAACAGTATTTCAGCTGTGAATCCATCCCGGAAGCGAGCCGGCTGCTTCTATCTGTTGATCCTTTGGATCCTTTCACAGAGGAGGGGACAGATACTGGGTCAACTTGACCATGGCAACGATAGCAATCCCTCCTATCATCATACAAGTTGGCCAAAAGAGGGAGTGGAACAGCACGTTGGAGCTGTAGAGTTTGGTTAGCAATACATTCTTTTTGAATGCCTTCGGGGTCATAGTAACAGGAGAAGTGCTGGTACTTTCTGAAGTTCTCCATGACGACATTCACGAGGGACAGAGACTCTTCAAAGTTCTTGCCACACTTGGGTATATATGAGCACTGTCGGAGGGGGAGAAAGACAAATGAGATAAGAGACAGTATGCATCCCTGGCCAAACCAAACGCTTGTGAATATGTATATACACCCATACATTTAAAATACAAATATGGCTTTCCTCAAAGAATGGATCCGTATTTACTTAGCTTTGACCAATCAGTCAAGAATTGTGCATGGAGGCACATAACGCTCCCCCCTAGGGAAGATTTACAAGATCCCTTTTCGGATATTACAGAAGTATGAAAACAGGAAGCATCACTCACACTTCCTGCTTTGGCATCGCTTGTGACTTACAAAGTAAATTTTCCAACAAACTGGCTTGATTATTTGAAAAGAAAACAAATCCAATATTTTTTTTCCAGCTCCCTGAGCCCTTAGCAATCAAAAGTAGAGAAAAGCAAAGCAGTTGAAACAGCTGGAGTCTAGACCAGAATCTGGGTATTGGGCTGCAAAACTCGGAGAAATATATATATAGGGATAGAAGAAAAGGACACCCAGAATTCTTCTTACTGTTCTGTCTCTGCTGGAAATCTAAGTGCTTTCTCTTGCCTCTGGGATTGGTGTGATCAATGAACTGAAAAGGCTGCGCAGGTTTTGTGTTGACCTTCGGAGGCTTGGTAGTGCAGACCTTCTGGGACACAAGTCTCACTCTTTCCCCAGCAGTGTCAGTAATATCACCGGCTCCGAGATGGCTTGGAGGTGGGGGGAAAGTGACAACGGGCACCCCAAGGGACCCACACTAAGTCCCAGACTCTGGATTCCTGCTTTCATTACTTTGGCACACACACCTGTATTCCAGCTTGTGGAACAGATGGCACCTCGTCAAGCCAAACAGCTGGAAGTAACCATCAGCTATTGTTGCCTGCCACTGGCAAGAGCACCTCACTGTTTCTGTTTACCTTGTTATAGTAGGGAAAAAAGAGGTAAAACTTGGGTTAAATTACACAGTGTTTGGGCTCATGTCTTGAGGAGCAGAGCCCCTAAGCCTGGATGTCATGAGATAAGGGTGCCGGGTGCACTGGGTTACCATAGCAACAACCGCGAGGTTGAACGTATGACTTGCTGAGTCATTCGCCCCCTCATTGGTTCAGGAAATAGACCTACGTGTAAAGATGGGGATCCTGGTCTCTGGGGCATTGCTTTCATTGTATGATGTCTTGTCCATGTTCTGCTGTCCTGTTGCACGCCCTCCTGCCCTGTTTGCTGTCAGGGTTTGACTCTGAATCTGTGAGAGGCCATGGTTTTTACACAATAGCGTGAGCTATTATGGTAATAGTGTTAGTGAATCTCTCTGCACATATGTATCTCTGCTTCAAAAACCAGAAGAACTGTATTTAGTGGATAATAGTGGCTGCCTTTGTCTTCTGTCTGGAAACAATAAATGCTTTGTTACTTTGAACTGTTTTCCCCCTTAACTGGGGACTCTGGAAGAAGCTCTGGAAGAAGAAGGAGCAGGAAATCTCTGGAAGACTCTGCTGGGGATCCACATAGTCTGCTGATACATCACCCTGATTGAGGTGTGGTGAACTACCAACAAACTTCCACAAGTCACCAGGAACATTGCTAGGCGGGCTAAGTGGGGCGGCCCAATGGGACCATATGCCACTGGTTCTGAATGTGCTGCAGTGGCCGCCATTGAGCTACTAGACCCAGTTGTATGTACTGGCATACAGAGCCCTCAATGGCTTGGTACCCAAGTACCTGAAAGAGTGCCTTCACCAATATCAACCATCTCAAATTCTGTGATCGGCAGGTGAGGCCTTGTCAGCAGGTCTTGACTCATGACAGGGCCTTCTCAGCGGTGGTTCTGATTTGTGGAATGCCGTCCCTCGTGAAGTGTGCCCGACTCCCTTATGCAGTTTATATAAATAATGTAAGTTACATAATTTTGCTGCAGCAGAAAGAAAAACGAATACAGTGGTACCTCAGGTTACATATGCTTCAGGTTACATATGCTTCAGGTTACAGACTCCGCTAACCCAGAAATAGTGCTTGAGGTTAAGAACTTTGCTTCAGGATGAGAACAGAAATCATGCTCCGGTGACGCGGCGGCAGCAGGAGGCCCCATTAGCTAAAGTGGTGCCTCAGGTTAAGAACAGTTTCAGGTTAAGTACGGACCTCCGGAACGAATTAAGTACTTAACCTGAGGTACTACTGTATTGTAGCTTTTAGTGGAAGATGAATCGCAGTGGAATGGAAACAGTGCTCTATATGACGCATGTGGCGCAGAATGGAAAACAATGGCTTTTTACATCCCTAAGTGTTAACACTTGGGGAAATGAGTTACTGCTGGTGCTAAGAGGAGGTGCAACATGGGATACTTCCAAGTGGTCCAGGGTCTCTCACATTCCTTGGCATCATGGGAAGAAACAACACTGCAGTCACGCCTACCCACACCAGGAAAACATGAATACTGTGCTTTACTGCTGGTGTGATGGCCTCCCAGAGATTAGTGGAAACCATTTATTTCTCCAGGGATTCTGCCTAAAATGAAAGTAGGAAGCATCTCCATCATTCTGGTGGGCTTCAGAACAACGTTGCATGATGATCAGAGCAGTAACCTTCTTCTCACGTCAGTGGTGGAGAACTTGCATTGCTGGATACGACTCCCACCATCCCAGGTCATTGGCCAGGCTGGTTGGGGCTGATGGGAGTTGGAATCCAACAATATCTGGAGAGCCTCAGGTTCCCCACTCCTGGTTTCCTGGCAGAGAGAAAAATGGCAGCCACTAGGTTCTGGTGTTGCTACTACCAGAACCTCAAACTGCACAGTGGTGGAAGTGAAAAAGGTCAGCCAGAGACGAGGATCTGGCTTCAGGAAATCATTTGCCGCCCACCATCTCTCTGAGTCCTCAGATTTCATCTGAAAGTTCTTGTAAAAAGAACTTGCAGTTGAGCCTTATGCATGATTCATAGGAAGCTTATGATGGATGAAGTTTGCTCACTGTTTGGCAGTGCGTCTAAATAAACACGATAAGCCTGTCCTTCATTAAATAACAACATTAAATAACATTAAATAACAGCATTAAATAACAACAGGCTTCTAGAGGCAGGTAGGGAGTGAGAATCGGCAAGAAAACAACAATTAAAAGTCATTTGTTCATTGGGGAACATCACCACTTCGCCTCTCAAGTCCATTCTGAGACCTAAAAGTGCAGTGTAAGTAACTTAGTAGGGAGCTAGACTAACCATTTGGTGTGATTGATCTAGGATCCAGTTCTTTGTTTAGAAATTAAAAGGACGTGAACAGAGACCAATGATTATACCATGATCACACTTAGTGAAGGCTGGGGGGAGGGCTGCAGTTCAATGGTAGAGCATTTGCTTTGCATGCAATAGCTAAGTTGGTTAGAGCGTGGTGCTGACAATGCCAAGGTTGCGGGTTCGATCCCTGTCTCCTCCATATCTGCATATTCCTGCATTGCAGGGGGTTGGACTAGATGATCCTCAGGGTCCCATCCAACTTGATAATTCTATGGTTCTATGCAGAAGGTCCTAGGGTCAACCCATGGCATCTCCAGATAGGGCTGCAAATACCCTGACTGTAACCTTGAAGAGCCACTGCGAGTCAGTGTGGACAATACTGAGGTAGAACTCAGTATAAGGCAGGTTCCTGTGCTCCTAAGGTCAGTGAAGGCTGATCCATTTGGGCAAATGGGACACTGCCCCACCAAATTCAAGCTGCCCTCAGCCAGACCCCACCTGCCTCCTTCTTACTTACAACCAGAACAGGGAGTCGCCCTGTTAGCCAGCTTCCTCCTCCTTAGTTTCTTTTTTTATATATATACCTTTTTATTGATTTTTTAACATATCAGTTCCAACAGTCATACATCATATCTTCTCATCTTATACAATGTTTTAGATTTCCGTCAACACCTCTGATGATTTTCTGTTCTTTATCACTTATTCTGCATTTCTTAATTTCAATGTTGCATTTAATTGTCCTCAACTAATAATTCTTTTCATAGTCTTTCTTGTAACATTTCAGATAATTCACCTTACAAAACTTCTTGCAATCCTACTAGCGTAATCTGTTCATCACAATTTCTTTTCAAATAGTTCATATATTTACTCCAGGCTTCTAAGAATCTCTGATCCCGCAGGTTTCGAATCCTTCCTGTTAATTTATCTAATTCTGCACAGTCCATTCCTCCTCCTTAGTTTCAGTGTTGCACGGCATGGAGAAAGTGGATAGAGAATTTTTATTATTATTATTCCACTCACATAACACTACAACACATGGACGCCTAATGAAGCCGAAGATTCAGGACGGATGAAAGAAAGGATTCGCCCAATTATGGAACTCACGCAGTGACGCTCACCAACTTCCAAGACTTTAAAAGAGGATTGGAGGACAAAATCATGGAGGGAAAGACTATCAATGGTGACTAGCCAGGGTAGTTACGCTCTGCCTTCATGGTCGGAAGCAGTAATGCTTCTGAATGCCACAGGAGGGAAGAGAACTGGTGTTCTTGGGTCTTGCTTGATGGATTCCCACAGGCACCTGGTTGGTCACTGTGAGAACGAGGTGCTGGACTAGGTGGGTCATTGGCCTGAGACAGAAGGCTCTTCCCTATGCCTTTGCAGAACTCAACAGGGAGGAAGATGGGGACAAAACTGGAAATTAGTGGCTCCACCTGCCATGGTCTCTAGCTCTAACTACCTGCTGCCTTACTAGTTCAAGAAAAAAGCACACCAAGAACTCTGGCCAATATAAGTTTCAATAGTGGGAGTGGTCCCTACTCGCAAATCAATAGTCAACTGTAACAAAAACTAATCCATTCAAAAGTATGTATTCTGACAAGGATTACAAACTCGAATAGAGATTACAAACTCAAACAGAGATTACAAACTCAAACTCATAAGGATATGTATAACACAATAATTCATTACAGTATTAGAGATAAGAGTTTATGAGCAGAGATAAGTTCCTGTTAGTCCATAGTCAGATTTGACGTGAAGATCTTAGTTTCAATCATTGAGCCAGAAGTTAGAAGTCAGTT